GATTTTTTTTCTCTCCCAAACCTAGTGTTGACAAGTGGGGGGGGGGGGGGGGGAACAAAAACGTAATTCAAGGTTTGAATCACAGCAAGGTCTCTTTCTAGCCTCCTCCCCTGCAGTATTATTCTTGCAAGTGATTGATGACCAAGGGTATGCAGGAACAGTTTGTTACTATCTAAAATAATCCACTAGGGTGCAAAATAGACTCTATAAAAAGAGTAGCCATTTCTGGAAAAATCTCTGCTTTTTAAAGCTGTCATATATTGAATGGAATTTACCATTGGAACTTTCACAAGTAACTGTTGGAAGCAGTTATTAAAGTAAGTATTAGGCTAGACTCAGAGCTTGTGCAAACAGTTGTAGCTCCCGTGAGTAGGATCACACTGACAGGCTGGTTTCAGTTCTTTCGGCAAGAGAGAGGCAAAAAAGTGAGAGACGCTAGCAGAGCATCTGCTAGTTAGATCAAAAAAAAAGTCTGTCTTGTTGGCAGAGCTATTGTCCTTTGGTCACACCAATCCTAATTTGAGTCCTGCTTGCAGCAGCACATAAAACCTGTGACAAACATAGTCATGCTGACATTGAGGTGGGTGCCAAAAGAAGATAATCACAAGTACTCGAGACTGCAAAGAAAAAAAAATACACAGAGAAGGAAAGCTTTCAGGTCTGAAATTAAAAAAAAAAAACAAACTTGGATTTGTGTCTTTTTCTCCCCAGTCCTCATTCACTATAATAAGCAATCCTCAAAATATTGCAAACACAGGCCTGGATCAAATCCTTTTCCAGAAATTCAAGTCTGTGTCTGTGTACTGTTTAGCCTCAGGCTAGGGCGTATGCAAAACAGAGAAATACTTTATATTTCCAGACTTACAGTATTTTATTCATGACTGTCTATGAACTGTCCTATTTGTTCTGGTTGCTGTTTGGGTCTTTTATTGTGCCTGATACAGCAATTTGGCCTGGTGCAGAAGTGATTCATCTAATTACTTTGAAGAGTGACAAAATCCCCGGCAGAGATTAACAAATGCTTCTTGTAGTCCACATCTAAGAGCAAGATTGTGTAGGTCAGAGTGGCTGCCCTCGCCTGGGGCATCGATGATGCTGAATGACCAGCAGAACCAGAGGTGAACACAAATGTCTGAAATGTGTGCAAGCCGAATCCCCTTGACCAAAAAGGATGCTACAAAAAGCTTGAGACCCGAAGCACTAACATCCTCTGTGGGTTATGGTTAATTTATTCACTAGATACAAGCTGTACTACAGACAGACAAGGCAGCAAAACCAACTACTTCTGTTGTGCCCTCCCCCCACCTTCCCCAGATGGATTAGTAATCTGCATAGATGCATAAAAAGGCCATCTTTAATGACCACTTAAAGGTCTTCTTGAATGAACTTTGCAAAAATGAGCAGCTATTCTTTATCACCTCAAATATTTTGCATAGTTTTGTTTTGTAGTATAGATTTTTCATTTAGCCCCCAAGATACCAGTTCATTTTCAGAGCTTTACTTATGTTCTGAAAAGGTATTTGTTTCTTTTACATTGTGTTTTGAATAAATACAGTTTTAATTGCTTCATTCTTAAAAGATATAATAAGGATGCTCCCAAGAGCATATGCAAATAGACTGGCTTTGAGTTAACGGGAAAAAGGTTTCTCGGTCTGGTCTGGGTTGAATCTTTGCAGTCTGCTTGACTTCTCCAGAATTCCCTTGCTGTTTGGCTCCTCTCGTGTTCGTCTGTCACATACAAGCTACTTGTCGATTCTCCCTGACCCTGCCTGGAGCACTTGTGGTTTTGGTGATGTGGTTTTGATTAGATTCATTTTTTTCTTTTTTTTTTTTTTTTCCCTTGCCTGCTGTGCAGTGAAGGCACCCTCATGCATTTCATTAACCAAAAGAAAATCACAGCTTTTTTATCTTCTGATAAAGACAACACTATTGCCATCTTAGCGATGAGTAAAACCACATTATTAGAAATGTGAGCATGTATTGTGCAAAGGCAGGATGAGGTTTTGCTTTTAATAATAGGTAACTATAAATGCACCATAATTATACACTATGAATGGGAGTTCACCTTTTTCGATTATTTCAGCTTATAACGAAGATGCCCTCTGGTGGCTGCAAGGTAAGATGTTATTTAAGCTCTTGGGTAAGAAAAGCAGCAGTGGGACAGCTGGGGTGCAGGGGTCTCCCCAGTCTGTCCCCCCCAGCTGTGCTGGCAGCTGCAGCAGGGAGACCCTGAGCCCAGACCAGCAGAGAGTCCCCCCCTGAGACCAGGGCTCTGCACCGCTCACTCACCGTGTGTGAGTCCGGTTAAAAAAGGATGGGTCCCAAAGGTTGGGTTTGCTGATGAACACAGCATTAGCTTAGGAAATGAGTTGCAGCCTTGAAACAGGGCAGCACGGCACACTGCAGGGCTGACCAGAGGATCAGCATCTGGAATAGATGAGCTGTGCATACACTTACTGTAATACACGCAACGGTATGGTTTGTCCTGAATTGTTTTCCCAGAGATGACTGGCTAGTTTCAGCTGCAAAATATTTTCAGGACAGGAATTCCTGGAACTGCTTTATTTTTTTTTTATTTTTTTTTTTAAATAATTGAAATCTGGATTTTCAACACTACAGTCCAAAATTTGCTCTAGAATGGAGGGTAAAGCTTTGCTGTTTCTAGAGACACCACAGAGCTAGACCACTCTTTTAAATGCAAATAAAGTTTACTAAGAAACAACTTAGAACCCAAGGGTTCCCGCTCTGGTAGGGAAGGTTACCTCCCTACTGCTGTCTTTGCTCAGTAACTTCTCTGGTTCAGGAGCTCATGGCACAGTGACTGTGCCAGTGGCAACGGGCTTTTTTCTATGTGACTCACTCATGAGCTGCCTCCTTCCCACTCACGTATGAACCCTCTGCCCACCGATGTCTGGAACCTGTTGAACTGTGGAAGGCGAGCAGAGCAGGGCTGAAGGAGGTCAGGAATTTATGATAGATTTATTCCACATACCTACACTGGCTTCTCTTAAAGCTGTTTGAAAGCAAGTTTTCCTTCTGTTCTGGCAAAGAGCAACACTTGGAGCTCTTTAAATACCCACTCCTCCAACTGCCCCTGAAGGATGTTTTCTTGACATGAGGAAGACCTGGAGTATGTCACCCCTTGCTGCAGCCCCTGCCATACAACCTCCCTCCCCTCTCCCAGAGCTGCAGCTGCCTGTGCACCAAGGCCCAGCTGCATAATCTGGCCTCAGACTGCTGAAAAAAAAAAAAAAAAACAACACTGTGAGAAAGTCTGTAGAGAGATAAGAAAGGAGGTAGAGCCATTAGGATAGGATTGCCAGTAGCTCATGGATTCAGGAGGGAAAATAGCTACATGGAGACATATAAAATAGTTAGGAGGCATAAGGTCAGTTTGTTGGGACAAGCCACCGGTGCCAGGGGCACTGAAGTAGCTTGGCAGAAGATGGAAGTGCGGCAACTTCCCCTCTGCTCCGACTGCTCCTTCCCCTCCTGCCAGGTGCCTGCCTGGCCAGCAAAGCCACCACGGGTACCCCGCTGGGTGAGCATGCTCATCCCCAGCCTAATGGCTTGTGAAATCCTACCTGGGCTGGTCAGGAAGTAACTGCTGTATGCCCCTAGTTATGTATATTTTGCTTACAGATTATCTTCAAGAGTGGCTAAAGATACTCGAACACACTGACACAAAAGCGAGGCTGTAACAAACACCTGTAAATACATTTTCATATTTTTTACATTTACTGAAAGGCAAAAAAAAAAAAAAAAAAAGAAGAAAGTATTTTCTCATTGGTAGAAAAGTACTTCACATTGGGGAAAGACTAAAGCACAAAAGGAAAAATAATTTTCTATTTGTGCTTGCAAAAAGCTAAAATTATTTACCAAAACATCCTACTTACTAGTAAATTTTGTCTTGGTCTTCTTTTAAACCATTGTTTTATTCCATTACCCTTAAGTGTTTCACAGATAATGCTGAAAAATATCAGCCCTGTGTGTTAATTTCAGGTGACAAAAATACCAGGGAAAATTCCTACTGCAGAAGACTTCTTTAGGATCAGCAGAGTGTACACACAAGAATCATTTTCCACGTTTTTTCCCCAGGGTTAACACCAGCATTCCAGGCTCTAAAACAATAAAGCCACTTCTAGAAATCTGCCTGAGCAGGTTGCTCTGAACACCTGTAGTGTGCATGTGGGAAGTCTTTAGGGTGCCACATACCTTCATTCTTTAAGTTCTCCAAAAATCTCTTTCTATCCCAGTGAAGCTGTCAGAAGAGATCACGTCACTCAGCTGAAGGAAGACGGATGAATCACAGCAGAATTCCCAACACCGCTGAGGTAAGCACTGAGTGAGGGGATAGTGTTGAAATAGGCAAGGTAACTGGACAGCAACTTTAACAGTTAAAGCCTGCCTGTTGACAAGCTGTCCTTTCTTCTTGGACATGGAAAAAAAAATCCACCAGTATTCTCCTGTGACATGATTTCTTCTTTACTACAGAAATGGGCTGCACAGGTTTCTCAGATGGTAGATGCAGTTAAGAGCTGTCCTGAAAAGGAAAGACTGACTCATTCCACTTGCAAGCTTTTACACACTCCCTCTGGTCACTGCACTGTAAATCTTTGCCGTCCTGACATCTGCTTGGCTTTTCTTAGTCGCTGGAGGAGAAGCTGCCAAACAGAATTAGGTTTTGTATATCCTAACCCCTATTCTGGATAGAATTAATGGACCAAGTCTGAAAGCCAAAAGCCTCAGATTTGTTTGGGTTAATCAATGCCAGAATTTGTTGGCTAGGGAATGATACAGATGATCTTTCACAGTTGAAAGAGTACGTCAGTGTTGCAAGTGTTTGGAAGGTAACAGCATACATGTCTTAAATGCCACCAAATAACACATTGGCTTTCACAGTAAGACACTGCTGGACAGGATAGGATTGAGTATCTTATTCCAACGCATATGAAAGTTTGCAAATAATTTTGGAGCAGTTGATCAAAGCAAAAGGAACAGTGAAGTGTGCACAGGAGGAGTAGGAGTACAAACTCATATAAATATTCTGGCACATAAAATGCATTTCTCATATGATGTTTCTGCAGAAAGTGAGGTGGCACAGTTTTAGTCAATCATCAAATTTGTCTGGTATGGTGGAGGTACCATGGTATAAGTTAAAGCTACAGGAGGAGAGCCAAACAACACTTTTAACATTTTTTTTTCCTGAGAAAAATTGACCAAGAGTAGCAGGAAAGTTCTGTAAACTACTCTGGCTTACTCCACAAATATTCCAGCCCAATATATGCAACCAGTCATTAGCAGGGCTCAGCTGATCAATAGTATTCTCACACTGCTGTTAATGCACTGCTTGCGCTTCTCTTGCAACTGCCCAATGTAGTTAATTTAGAAAATAAAGAGAAAAGATTTTGTTCAGCGCCTAAAGAAAGGCTACTTTCTAACCACAACCAACCAACAAACACTAGAGTCTGTGTATGATCTTGCACAAAACATTTGTATCAGCACAAAAATCTTCCTACATGAATATGATGCTTACAGGTATTTGTTAACAGGGAAAAAAAAAATTATTAACAGCATGTTTTCAAGTAGGGTTCAAAACAGGCTGTATGCAAGAGGATAGAGTCAACATTTGAACAAGCCAGTTGGTAATAACTTTGAGTTTTATTATATATAATAAAAGTATATTACATAAAGACATTGCATTATTGCAGATTGCCTGATAGAAATGACACACACAACCTTATTATACCAAGGAAAAGGTACTAATCTGAAAGCTTTCATTCTTATCAAATATATTTGGAGTTACAGTAAGAGAGCTAAGTTTATCATAGGGCTAATTAGAAAAGCAAATAGATAGCAAAAAGCCTTTCCAACCTGCATTGTTCTGGGTCCATTACATATAGCTTTTGTGAGGTAGTATTCATACATAATTCAAAAAGACCGCTTAATAATCTGAGATTAATTCTGTACGGTGGTGAACAGGAATAATGTAACAAAACCCTTTAAAAGTTTTCTGTATTCATCTTCTCATCTACTGCATTTCAGACAGCCAACATACTGGGCCAGTATTTAAATTACCACAAAATGGTTAAATGGCATTTTTTTCAGTTACAGGATGTGTTTAGTAGCACACAGTGTGAAGATTTTTTTTTTTTTTCTTCATTATTAATGAGCCATCTTTGTCAAGGATGTCTTTATTGCATAAGCTAATGTAAATTAAGTTTCCCAGCCCCTAGGTGAGTCCTTTTCACTACACTCCACTTGTTTTCGGGACCTTGTGTGAGCACCGACAGCCTGGGCTGTGCACTGCCTGGGGGGTGACCCCAGGGCACCCACCCAGCAGCTGGCTGGGTGCAGGTCACAGGGCTGCTGCAGTCCTTGGCACGTGTCTCCACAGAACAGCCTTCCATGGGGGAGAAGGTTCTCCAGGACCGCTCAGCCCACACTGAGCAAGCCTCCCCTCTGCCCACCCAAGGCACAGGCCACCCAGTCACTTCTCTCTGCCACCAGGTACACCCTTGGGCACCCAAGACTAGGTCAGAGCCCCTCTCTGCCATATGCATTGATGTGTGATTGGGAAAGCATTTGGCCAAGGAGAGACACTAGTTGGTATTTTACTCTATTTCTTTTCCAAGCCTTCCTTTGGGCAGGGCAGTCCTCTGTCTCGTACACACCATCAGCAGTGGTGTTCTTGCCAAAAGGATAATAAAATCCAAGATTATCTTTAAAGAAAGAAAATGCACAAAGATTGCAGCTGGAAGGCAAACACTCTGGACGTTTTTTAATGCCAGTGAAGTGTCACCTCTGCTGTCCTGAACGAGGTATGCCAACCAACACCACTGCTGTGGGGACGGTGAAAGGACTTTTAGGCAGCAATTCAATGCTAGGAACTACCAAAGTGACCCTCCACCTCCACCCTTATGTCTAGAAAACTGGCTTGCACTTACAACTACGGGGTGCAAGCACACACAACTGTGCATGGTTACATGCAACTCTCCGTGCAGGCTGACACTCAAATCAGGTATTTCATCATATATTCCTCATCTGTCTTTTCCTATTTCGTCTGAAAGAATAAGTGACTTTGTAATGTGGTTTGAAAAAGTTAAAATTTGATTTTAATGAAAGACAGAAGAGGGAAAAACCCAGACTGTAAAGCAGAAGCAGCTCTGAGCACTTCAAAATACATACGAAGGTTTTACCATAACCGGTTTGGGTTTTCCCCCAGGAAAGGAAGGGCTGAAGGAAAAAGACAATGCATTTTCATTTTTTTGGATCTTTTTTATTCAAAAGTTTTCAAAGAAATAAAACAGAAAAAAGCTAACAATCTAATCAAATTTACAGTTCAAAAATGTCTTTTGGCGTTTAACAACAAGTCCTAGGAAACAAAACTACAGAGTTATCTTGAACCGGACAAATAAGTTACCACTGGCAAGTTTGTGGCACTAGTAAAACAAAAATAAAAAATTAACTCTCTTGATCATATAGATATCTCTATGAAAATCTTTTTTTTTCAATCTGTACAAAAGGTCTTTCTTCATAAATTAATTTTTTTATAATTTAATGGCTGTCTACTATGTGATGTTTAAGTAACTGATTATTTCTTTATGTACAGAGGTTAAATTTCCCAAATCTTACCCAGACAATGAGTATGGCACTTAGTTCAGACATTTCTGGCAGCAGCTCTTCCCTCCCTCTAACACAGCTATCATACTGCAGTTTTAATTAACGCAAAAATATCAAGTAGTGAGAGATCCAGGTTTGGAAAGTCACCAGATACAGGCAAGGTGCTGCAGGAAGTCTGGACTTTTACAAAGCAGTAATATTCCAGGGAGCATAGAACCAATAATACCACAACTTTTTAAAAAAAGAAAAAACAAAAACACATCTCTTATGACTATGTATTTCACTAGAATCTACACTTCTCAGAGCAGCAATTTACTTTTGAAACTATGAAATGTCACCGACATCTATACTCCAATACTCACACAAAATTTAAAAACTAAAAAATACTTGAAAGAAACAACTGCTTAGCCCCAGCTCCCGAGCTAGGATGATTTGGTCTGTGGAAACAGGGAGGGCCAGCAACCTGTCCCAATACAAAAGGAAATAAACTTTGAGGTAGATAACTGATCATATACAGCTGACCAGAGAAGTACACAGTTTTGGAAGACAACTTAATTTATCATTCGATTTAAAACATATGCAATTGTAATAAAGAGCTTTAGTAGCAGTGAATTATCTAATATGTGAAGTACAAATAACTGTGTATTTATGAATCAGGAATTTCATAGTTTCAAAATTGGTTTTCTTTACACTTAACACTTGTAGTGATGATGTAAAGTGTGGCACTGCTTGGATCCAAGTCTTCCTTCATGCTTTTGTGTCCATACATCAATTAAAATTATAAAACCTAAATGCAAATGTACAAAAAAGGCACATTCTCCTAACCGCAAACTGGTCCGGCAAAAATAAAGAGTACAGAAGACGTAATGCTGAGACAAATCAGAATTATTGGTTACTGGCTCTTTGATCTTTGGTAAAGTTACCTTTTAAAAGTGCCAAGTCTTTTTATTTTTATTTACCTACTATAGAGAGCTAGTACCCAATCAATTATGCTTCTACTTACATCTCAGCGTATGTTTGAAAACGAGTCCTTTAGCTTTTGCCATTTTGCTATAATAGCAACTTTTCTGTTTGCTAAGTCTCAGCACGATCCTCATCCTAAAGCACTATCATTAGTATAAACGAAGGACAAAAACATTCGGTGATATCCCCTCCCCAAACTCCCTACTCTACTTATGCTAAAACTAGAACATCAAGTTAGTTTCTGAAAAAAGGCAAAAAAAAAAAAAGATTTTACATTGCATCATACAGCAGAGTTCCTAAATCATTCAAACTACCAGAGGGAACTATTGGCATATGGCCTTACAAACAATTTATCCTATTAAAATTTCCCCAGTCAGAAAATGTGTTTCACACAAAACATTTTTTCCCCTCTTGCATTTCACTACCTTACATATTATGTGAAAAATCATTAAAAACACTTACTACACATTAAAAAAGCCAAATTTTCAGCAATTTTTATTGACTACCTTTAAAAGCCCTATGCTGCTGTTTTACAAGGCATAATAGACCAGCTCATTTGGTCAAAGCATTCTACACCATTAGTTTGGACTACTTACTGAAACAGCTACAGCATTGAAAGATTTAAGGCAAATTGGAATTTATAGAAAAGGATAAGACACTTCACACTACATTAAAAGAAAAACAGAAAGCTAAAAGACCAGACACTATAACTGCAACACTGCACTAAAGCAACACTCACACACTGCAAGCACAGAACATCATCTTAGATGTTTTACTATTTTAAACTTCAGAAAACCCATT